ATGTCGACGGAGAGGCGAGTAAGTCTGCACTCTACACACATTTACATTGTGTCTTCTAACTCCTGGGTGCTCTCATATATAATATCTTCCTGGACTTGTGTGTGTATACAGTGTAAAACGTGTTATACAGTATATGTCTTAATATATATATAATACAGTAGTTTTAGTAAAGAACAACAGTACAGTCTTTATTTTATCATCATGGGGTCTCTGCTTAAAGAAAAAACTGAAAAATTAGCTCTTCCGAAACCTGCTGGTTGTGTTAGAAAGGAAACTGTCCTGCCGGCTGAGACGTGAGTAGCACTGTATTCTAGTTTGTGAGTTTCAGTTAGCTCATCCTGAGGTAAAACATTTTGTGCAATGCTTAAAAAAGAGAGCGGTGACTTGTAGAAGAACAGCCCTCTGTCAGGGTTAACCCACCTCAGTGCTGTGTCATTCCCGCGTGTGTGTGTGACGGATGTGTGGGGTTAGCGTAAACCTTGTGTACAGATCACCCCCCCCGTGTTGTATTAGTGAGAATATGCAACCGTGTCTTCTGCAAACTCGCTTCACATGCGACTATTCTGCATTTAACAATGGCGTTTTGGGGAAACGTACACTGCAGACACACAGAAACCGCTGCACAATGTTATGCTAATTCTTGATTAACCGATTTACCCATTTAGTCAGTGAAGTGTGAAGAAGAAATTGTTCGCGGGGCTTATCGTGACTTCCCAGAGCTGAAAGCGATGGCTTCAAATTGTCTAGTTTGCTCAACCAAAAAAGCCAAAACAAAAGATGCTCGGTTTACAATAAGACGCAGCAGCGCAGCCTCGCTTTTGAAAAGCTGGGAGCATTACTTTGTCTGTCAGTAGACTAATCAATTATTTGACTAATCCTGCACATCAGACATGTAATAAATTCCACTGCAGGTTTTTGGCTCATATGACAAACATAATATTTAAAAATTAAATCTCTACATCGTGTTTCCAGCGCACGTACGATATCGTTATGGATTCCCTGCACTCGTGTTTCAAGTGTAATTAATTTACCCAAAACAAACAAAAGTTCAAGATGAGCTTTACTGACACTATAATAATTATTTATTTTTCTTTATAAACATCGTTACTTTAAGACTGAGGCCAAATATTTCAATTCATTTTCTTTCCGCGCAGCTCGCGTTTCAAACGTGTTGCAGAGTGCCCTCTAGTGGACAAACCTGGTCACAGCGTGTTACTCTCATTGCTTTTAAATGTTTTTTTTTAAAATCCGACATTTGCCTGATGGTAAATCGGCTGGATTTTAATGCAAATTCTAGATTCCCATATTCCAGTGCCTGGTCCCTTTATCCTTTCGAGCAGGTGTTCCCAAACTTTGGAATTCTGAGGATCGCAGTTTTTTGGCGCTGTTTCATTTCTTTTTGCTGGTTTGTAGTTGTTTTTTAATGACTTGTGTTAAAACCAGTGCAGAGTAGGGTTTGGTCTGCTTCGATGGCTACAGTGACACAAACTGTGCGCCTCAGAAATGTGTTGATGCGACGCTACAAAGACGAAAACTAAGTACATTCATGAGCTGAGCTCCAACAACTTTGCAGATAAAGTTCTGTTTATGTGTCGTCAGAAGAACTTTTCAGCCAATTCAGAACTTTTGTATAACGTCTCCTGCGGTTCTGGAGGGGGCGGTGTAAAGCAGAAGAACTAATTTTATCTCGCCTGGGAGAAAAAAAATCACTGGAACAGGATCTAATAAAAGACAACTATCCCTTAAAGTAATTTAAGGCGGCTTAAAGCACATGTTTCATGGTCCTATCAAATTTCTAAAAATACCAGTGAGCATGAGATAAGATGCGAACACAGGCCGCCGGTGGGAAATGCAAATGCTCATCCCCATATTTACATTCAGCTGTACTTATATGAATCGCTGCACATCAACACAGCCGGTGTCACATTTCCCCCAAAACACAGCAGCTAATGCAGAACAGTTGCATATGAATGCACGGTGCTTTGCAAGAGACCGGGCTGGCGTATGAGCGTTGTGAGTTCAAGACAGAAATCTGACCTTCATGACCCTTTACTCTGCATGCTGTCATACCACATAATACAGCTTGTAAGGCTCCACTGCAAGTGCACAACAGTAGGACACTCCAATGTTTGAGGAAAAAAAAAAGAAAGCAATCAGAGCAGTGCTGTCTTTGAACTAAGAATTACCGAGGCATGCTCGTCAGCATTAAGACTGAGTTCTGTACTTCTGCGTGCTGGATGCAAAGATTCGATGATAAAAGCTGGGAAATGGGATGGATCAGTGTTCACCATCAACCTGATTTCTCTTTGTTGTGCGTACACACACACACACATATATATGTATATAGGATAGAAATGCCCCAGTATATTCTTAGTCAGATGACAGCAGCTGCATATACACACCTCTGAGCATGCACCATGCGTGCTGCAGTAGGCTCACATTGGTTATGGTGACACAGCACCCATATACAGCAGTCAAGATAATGCACATGTGCATAAAACTTTCCAAAAGAAAACCAAAAGCACAAAATGAATACGAAACAAGAGCAGACCAATGATGACATCAAAAAGGTTGTTGTAGAAATATCTGCTTGCGAGTGTCAGGGGAGGGGCTCAGCATGTGGACCTGGAAGCTTTTAGTTAGATTTAACTCTCCGCCAAGGACTGGGTGTTCGCTCGTTTTGTGTTTGTCTTTGTATTTTATTTTTTTAAAGAGAGGATTTTTTTTTTTCGTTTGTTTGTTGTGGGTAATGTCTCTGTCTTTTCTCGCTTTTTTCTTTCTTTTAGTAGGGAGTGAAGCGACTGTACCCTCCTCTGTATAGGCTAGCCTGCAACATCAAAGATGAAAAAGTACCAATCAGTATTCAGGTGACAGCTAGAGTCGGTTTCTCTTTCTCCACAAATTTCCTTCCTTTTAACTTATTGAGTTTTCATATCGGAATAAGTTTTTCGATACGTATAATCTCGACACAGATTGAGAGTTTGAGACACTGAAGCCAATAACGGGCTTTGGTGAATAAATTCCCTGATTGCATACAATCCGAGTGTGTGTTAGGAACGGGAGGTAAAGTGGATTGTTGGATTCGGAGCTTAACTGGTGCAATTCATACAGAGGAAATTGTTTATATGCATGTAGATAGAGCACTTTCTTGAACGGCGAATACATTTTGATTTCATTACGCTTAGAAATAAATTGAAAAACAGAGATTTTTTTGTCCTTTTACTTGAGGAAAACGATTCCTTTTACGGCCGTAACAATATCAGAGATTGGACTAGAGCAGAATAACTTCTGAGAGGTTTAATCACAGCTCCTTTTCAAGTCTGGCAGAGGTGTCTGCACCTTTCTGGAGGGCCAAACCACCACAGGATATTAGCCCTTAGATTTAGCACCATGCTCAAGATATCTAGGGCAGACACACATAGAGCATGCAAGTGGGCCTATGCATGCACACCTGCACATGCACGCACACACACGCAGTCCTTCTCATCTTTCGGTGGCTCTGCTGCAATTAGAAATTCAGGCAAACTCCAAAGGCTACCGAATGTCTTCAAAGGCTAATTTTGCCTAATTTCGCGGAGCCCTCTTGCTTGTACAAAACTTTCATCCGTACGAGATGCTTCTGTAAGCTGGAAACGAGTAAAGAGAATTTCCAACCTCAACCTCAGAGGAACTAATTATTGTATAGCTTTTAAATGCAAAAATGACTCCTCGCTGCTGGAGAACCATTAATCAAATATGATTAAAGAATTAGGAACCAAACTGGTCTTTTCTCTTTAGCTTAGGAGTTTATTAGATGTTGGCCTCAGCACAGCCTGCGTCCCAGTAGCCTCGCCATTTGTTCAGCGCCCCGTGAACCCACAAGCACACACACACACACACACACACACAAACAAGCCTGCGTTAGCTCCCTGAGCTCCCAACACACACCACGTTAGATATTTTTTAGGGTTCAGATCCTGACTTCTACATTCGCTGAGAGGACGATTAAAGTGTCAGAGGAATGGAAGGAAATTTGGAGGGAAGAGAAGAAAGAATAAAAAACATTCAAGCACATTTTTTAATTAAGTAAATGAAGAGGAAAAAGAAATGTCTTAATTAATGAAAGCTTTTAGCTAGCAGCTGCACCGGGGAACTGTACGCTTCTTTTTTTAAAGTTGTTGAAAAATCGCATGCATGCTGTAATGATGAATTTGAGTCATTTCTCAAGCTGAGAACACGCCACCGATCAAGCTTGTGGGCAGGAGAGGAGGGTGAGACAACTCCCTCCCTCAGTCTCGCTCTCTCTTTTATGTCCCACGGCACACTGCTGCATGCGTTTGATGGGCTTTAACTCTAGGTTTGGTCTGCGAGCCCGGCCCTGACCCCCTCCTCATCATCATCCTCCTCGCCGTCGTAAAACAAAACCAAAGAGGAACTCTCAGTTTCGTAAAAAATCCTCGTTTGTTTATCGTCACTTTTCATCTTTGATGTTACAGTAGCTGCAAAAGCTAGCTAAAAACAGACATTAACAGTTCGACCTCATCTTTTCGGGTTCGGTTTGACTGAATGGGGGGAGGGGGGAACAAAAAGAAGATGATCTGTCGCACTCGGGAGCAAGTTGAGCGATGTAGGATGAAAACAAAGCTGGGAAATGTATCTGTTATGTAACATGTAAAGCTCGTGTTGAGAGAAAAGACTGCAGTGATCACTCATTCTCATGTCAGGAGGAACTTGTGTCAGATCAATAGTGCAGGAGGTGAGCTTGCGTGGCGTAGCAGAAGTTTATTGCACTTTATATCTGAGCCAATTTCCACATGCCAGGGCTTCACAGTACTGCTCAGTACTGCCCACTAGGGTGTGCCAGATAGCATGACAAAAACCCGAATCGATTAATGAACAACACGTAAATAAAAACCAGCGACGAGTGAAGTCTCTGGTCTTTATTTTGCAGTGTGTGTGTGTGCTGTAGCCTGTGTCATGGAGGGTGCAGACAGGAACAGGCGGTGCTCTCATAGACTTACCATGGTCCCCACACTGTATGTGGCTGCAGGGCCAATCGTGTGGTGATAAGGGTCTGCTGTTGCATAGACTCTGCCATAGCTGCACAACAGGGGACAGAGAACGCGGTCATTGATCTATCATTGACGAGGAGAGAAGAACATTTATGCATGCTTGTTTAATGCTCAACCCCTCAAGTAAACCCTTTCAAGTCTCTAACGCAATCAATTATTTCCCTCCCCGGCCTCCTGGGCTTCCTGCTTTATACAAGGTGGTTCAAAAAGGGGAGTTCAAAGGTTGGTGAATTATACTTGTCTTTTCATTGTCATCTTGATTAGCTGGATAGAATAGGTAATGAGCAGAGGGAGGCAGAAGAAGAAGGATGCAGAGGAGAGTTGGTGCCGGAGGGCTCGCTCTCTCACCCTGCTCTTGTTTACCGAGGCTGCACACTGGGCTCACGCCCCTGTCTTTTCATTGTTGCTGGTTTGGAACTAATCCTTCCAATTTCCTTCTGAGACAGGACAAGATGTGTGCGCTTTATTTATTTATTTATTCGACTTCACATATTCCTCTATTTACTTTCTTTTTTTTTTTTTTTTAGCTCTTGCTTGCAAATGAGGGTCTGCAAGGAGCAGATAAGGCACACCCAGCCAAGGACTGAGGGCACCAAATCAACCAGGAATTAAAAAAAAAAAAGGAAGTGGAGAGAGGAGGAAATTCTCCTAAAGGAGACAACAAGACGTACGACGTTCGCGGCTTTCGTACGAGATGCGTTGAGTTATATAAGATCTATTTTGGCGCGGCCCATTCGAGTCCGTCGGCACCCAAGGTCAGCGAGCGGGACGTGAAATCGGAAAGGCTGGCTCGGCTCCTTGGGGAGGAGGCCCGTGCTGTGAGATGGTCAGGGGAAGTCTCCGTGGTCCTCTTATCTTCAGTGAGCACTGAACCCCACAGGCCCTCTAAGGCTAATACATCTCCAAAATGACTCTCACCAGAGTGGCGCCGCTGACGAACAGCAGGTCAAACCACCCTGCGCAATGTCACTGACTGGAAGCTAGCAGGGTCTCTACAACGTGCCTGTGAAGGCCTCTTTGATTCATCAGCCTCGCCTGTACCAACTCTCTTTAGTTACTTAAAGGGCTTTGGTAATGCAGCCTGTGAGCGGTGTGGGCTTTTCGGATAATAAATGTTTCATATTTTGCAGGGTTTCACACGCCTTCCTCAATCCCGGCGACCTCTTTTTTTATGATTGGCTGACGGCTCCACGGTAAAGTCTGATAAGGTACGGCTGAGACAACACCGGCAAACCCTTATTGATCCAGTGGGCATGACCGCTTATTCAAAAGGAAACAAACAGACAAAGCAAAACAAACAACTTGGGGCGAATTATATTAAATCTCAGAGAAACGTATAGGCAAGAGAAACACGAATTAAATCACTCGGAGAGGAAAAAAAGCCGCTGTCCAATTTCTGCTCTCGCGGAGCGCGGCTGCTCATAATTCGAACCGCGGCGAGGCCTGATAAATCTTACATTATCGATATGATCTTCAGGCTCTCAGGCAGGGTGTACGTTATCACAAGTGACATGCTCAATCCTTCCCAGATTAGATTCCCAAACCGGCCCACATCCCGGCTGACAACGGCTTTCGGGGCCGAAATGAATCAGCGACGCCTCCTCGAACAGAGCACACCTGAACCAGAGTGACATCACTCAGAAGTGATAGAGTTCCCGCTGGTCCATCTCTGCCTCTCTCCGTCTCCCCACCTCCCCTCCGCAGACCCGAGGCCATTAATAAATACCGCAGTGATATACCCACTCTCCCCTCACAAGCGGGGAGTCACGACATATATCACTGCTTTTCTCATCGAGTCCAACAAGGTTAGTCTTTTTTTCCCCGCGCGTGTGTGCTCTTTAGCTCCGAGCTAAAAAGAATATAGCGGTTTGCCTAATAGATAAGATAACTCGAGAGGAAGAAACCCAAAATAACCCTCCACAGAATATTGTAAAATGCTGCCGGAGCAGCCCCCATTCATCACAGGCGCTCTCCTACCATCACGTCTCCTGTAGATATGATCATTTTTGGTGGGAAAACACTAATTATTTAAAGCTGAAGCTCACCCTTTGCTACGCCGACACAGCGATGGCTGCATTTATGAGATTTATGAGGACATATTTAGAGGCGCACTCCCTTTTTCCTTCTCCCAGTAATTTCCCCTGTTTCACAGCCTGTGGGATCAACTTGTTGCTTTAAATCAAAAGTTCTCGGGAGCCGAGTCGGACACATCGGAAACATGTCCGTTTTTTTTAATTCAGCATTTTCTCAACAGCTGCTCGTGGAGAAAAATGCTCTGCAATGCATTTCTGTTTCTTTAAGCACTTGAGAAGTGAATGCTAACGATGGCTGAAGTCAGCCTTGTCTTATGGAATTATGGGAAACACGCAAAACAGCCTCAATATTCCCAGTTACAGCCAATAGACTATGTGCACGTTAGCATATGCTACTTCCGGTGTCCTATTCGCGCCTGGTTTACGGTCCAAAACAAGTAAAGCAAATGAATGAATCAAGCGGCGATTTACATTTCTATAGATGTCTTGGGCATTTATCCAATATATCTGTAAATGATGTTCATCGACTTGTCGATATTTTTTCCCACGCCTCAGAGCAAAAGAGAAAATGGATTCAAATGTTATATTTCTCAGCTGTCCCTCGTTTATCATGGGTGTTATGTTCTAAAAATAACCAGCAATAGGTGAAATCAAGTAGCCAATTTTATTTTTTGATGGTGCAAAACGTTTCGTGGACGTCGTGGACCTACAGCACTGCACTTCAGAGTCACACTGCTAGCATCGATGCAGCGATTCTGTGCTGTACAGGAGAGACGGAGGAGATCGTCTGCAG